CAGCAGCAGCAGCAGCAGCAGCAAACTGCCTCCACATCCGAGGTCATCGTCGCCGCCGTAGCGCGACAACCGGCGCCCCTGCCCAGAGCATCTGCCCTCGCCGCACCCTCGGCAGACTCGCACCTCGGCACCGCAAGCCCGCCCGAGCTGGACACCGCCGAATCGCCCGCACTCTCGGGTCGCAGCTACTCGCCCGTCGCCACGCCTCCCGCTCTCGGCACCATTGACGAGCACGACGCCGCGCTGGTCGACTTTTCCACCGTGTTTGGCGAACCGAGCTCGTCGCTGCTCACCGCACCCTCGCACGCCGCTGGCGCTTCGCAAGCCATCAAGTTTGAGGACGACTCGGACCAGATGCTCAGCTTCTTCCGCACCTCGCCCTTCCGCACCACCCAGTACGAATCGGCCACCATCGACCCGCACGTGGTCGAGCACGGCTCGCTCGCCCAGCCCACCTCGCTCCAGTCGACGTTGGCCATGCCGCTCGACTCGATCAGCCCCTCGCAACTCGCCGCTGCGCAGGCCAACCCGTTCAATGCCGCCGCCGAGTCGAGCCTGAAGCACGAGCACCACAACCGCGACGACTCTGCCGCGCCCATGTCGGAGGACGGCATGTCGGAGGACGACGACGATGACGACGAGCACGACGGCGAGCACCGTCGCTCGAAGTCGTCGGGCATGGGCAAGACGCTCAGCACGATTCCCATGGCGGTGGGCGACACCAACTACCTCAAGCCCGACCCGGAAGAGTACAAGAAGCTGAGCAGCAAGGAGAAGCGCCAGCTGCGCAACAAGATCTCGGCGCGCAACTTCCGCACGCGCAGAAAGGAGTACATCAACCAGCTCGAGGACCAGATCGCCGACCGCGACGCGCTCATCGAAGGCCTGCGCCAGCAGATCTCGCAGCTGAGCGTGGAGAACAAGTCGCTCAAAGACGAGGTGCGCACCATCAAGGCTCGCACCATCTCGTCGCAGGATGTGGGTAAGATTTTGGAGGCGCTGCAGACCATGACATCCACCGCCAACAACCCCACGGCGGCTGCTGCCGGCAACGGTGGTGCGCTCAACGTGAGCGGGGATGTGGCGTCGGGTCGAAGCAGCCCGACCAACGAGTTTGGCGGTGCGCCGAGCGGTGTTCTGACGCCGGGCGCGTTCCTCAACTTTGGCAGCGACGCCTCGCGGCCGGGCACGCCGACGTTTGCGTTGCCGGGCTCGCCGCGTGCACAGTCGCCGCGTCCGTCGCTGCTGCGCCGCTCGTCGCCGTCGCTCATGCCGCAGGCCAACACGAAGAAGGACGTGGCGCCCTCGAGCAGCTTCTGGGGCGGCGTGGGCAGCGTGAATGCCACCAACACGTTTATGCCCGTCTGCTGAGGGGCTCAGGTTGTCAATTTGTCCTTTCGTCTCTTTGTCGTGTTTCGCATTAATGGTACATATGATCTCGTATTCGCCCTTTGCTCGGGAGCGCACCTGTCAAGGTCGAAAGGAGCGAGGGGATCGGCATTGTGTCAAGCAGGAAGCGTGCGCGCGGAAAGATGGGCAGCGGTCGAAGAAGTTGGGGGAGGAGCAGGGGGTCGGGATTGACATCGGGGGCTGGGGGTATGAGGATGACGATGGGGATCGGGGCTAGGTTGGCGAGTCACCACGCGGGCGTGGTCGAGCCAGTGTGGGGATTGCAAGGGCGGGTTGGATTGCTTGGATGTGTGTGGGGTGGGAATTGCATAGCACACATACGATGGGGTTGAGGGTTTGGCTAGGCGAGAATGTGGGGGATGTGAGTGGGGAGATCGGCATGTAATGACGCCTTGTCCCGCGAAGCATGTCTCGCTACCAGGAGGACTTGATCCGCGGCTCCGGTCCTGTCCGACCCGCCGCGCTTTAGGCTCAAAATGACGTCCGAGTTGGGCTGCCAACTGCTCCAAGGAGGGATGGGTTGGGGGGTCAGGGGGGTAATGCATCCATCCATTGGCAGATGTTTCCATTCCCCAGGGGAAGCTGGGAGGATGCATGAATCGATCTGTGCATCCCCATAGACAAGAGGCTGGACCTATGCTTGCCCTTCCCCACCTTTTTTTTTGCGATGGATTGTGCCGAGGCTACGCCAGCATGGAACTGGCTTTGCTCGGCTCATTCCGACGAGCTGGGAAGGGAGAAGGGGGATCATGCAATACCCCGCCGAGCAGTGCACATGCGTCTCGGCGTAAAGGTTCGCCGGCGCAGGTGGAGATCAATTCAATGCGCGACGCACTATATCTCTGTTCGATCTGGTCTCGACCCTCGTGACTGACCGGCATATTCGTGTGGACTGTTGAGCACACCGGTGCGTCGCATCGGTCATCCAATCCACCGGATCCGCTTTTGTTCTGGATGGTTCGACGACTGAGAGGGCCAAGGATGATGCCACATGGCCGAGCTTACCCCCGCGCACCAACAAGAGCTGCGTCGGTAATCTTGCTCGGCGTGCGTTATGCAACGGCTGGCTGCTCGTGCTCGCTTTTCGATCTGCCTGGTGTTCGCACGCGAGCGAGGGTTTTTGGGACCATTGGGTGTCGCGATCGTGGATGCATTTTCCGATTTTCCTTGCCCACATGCAGGGCTGGATCGATCGAAGCGATTGACTTTCATGCAGGCTTGCCGGGGCGAAAGCGCTCTCGACTTGCCTCCCAACAGCTGCATCCCAACTTTTTTTTTTT